CCGTGCTTCCTTCCCTCCAAAGGATCCAAAGGGGATTGGGAGGTCCATCGGTTGAAGTCTGGGACCGAAAGAAGTCAGTGAAGGTCCATCAGTCCAGCATGATAGGAACATGTCCCGCACAGGCTGTGCCAGTACTTCTGCTGGGGGGAATCCTCCTGCCTCGCCGGTGACCATCCTCTTCCGTCTGGACGACCGTCTGGACGACCGAAGGCAGTGCAGAGTCACCACTCTCAAGGCCTCTGGACGACCACCGGACCCCCCACGCTCGAACGAACGGCGAAAGGGTCGGGCTCGGGCTGCCCACGAGGCCTGGACCTTTTGCCCGTCTTCTTGGCCTTCGTGCTGCTGGTGCTGCTGCCGCTGGCATGGCAGGCGCTGCTGCTGTGGGGGGAACCCACCCAAGGAGCTGGGTCGGCCACCGTCCCACACACAGCGCAGCAGTCCAGTGAGGTCCGGAACTTCCAGGAAGTCTGTTTTCATAAGAGTCCGTGACTTCGTGAGAGCAAGGGGTGTGGGTGGGTTGACCAGAGTGTGTAGCGTGCCATGACATTCCATGGATGTCTTTTTTTTTGGAAAGAAGGTTAATTATGGTGAAAGAAAGGCGAACGTTAGCCATCAAGTGCTCATCACTACGCAGCCAGGTGAGGTTTCTGAAGGCTTCTTTGCCCATCGCCACAGGCCAGACGGCGGCTTTACTCGCCTCCTGAGTCGGTCGAGGAAAGCGAAGGTCTTATTGCTTGAGACCAGTCAAGAGGCCGGGAGGAAGCGTTGAGCCACGCAGCTTTTCAGGAGATTGTAGCTCTCGTTTTCTCTTCAGGGTTATTTATATCCCAGGATTCCAAGCATCATTATATGATTTATTATATGATTTAATAGAACTATATGATAATATAGTTTTTAAAAAAATGTTTTTTTTTTTTTTTTTTTTAATGTTGTTTTATAAAGCAATTCAGACTACACCACCATTTCAACCAGTTTGGAAAAATGGTCTTGGAAGGCGTGGGTGTATTGCAGCTTGCTATTGATTCGTCCCTTAACTATCCAAGTGAGATTGTCAAGTTATCACTGATTACTAATTACTAACTACGCAACGCAACCTTTTGATAAGCCATTGTGTTAAAGTCTTTATAACTTAATTAAGGTTCACACAGTCGCTGTTTGTTGGTGCATAATATGTGATCTGACCATCTCCGCCTCTAACCTGAGCATACCATCGCGCAAGTCAGTCAGGGGCTCCAAGACACAAGAGAACCCTCAAAGATGCACATTGAACCCACCAAACAAGCTGGCCCTCTTGGCTGCCAATGTGGGCCTGGTGAAACCAAGGCCCGTGTCGACATCTTCTTCCAGGATGATAGAAAAGTCAAACCCTCCAAGTCAATGACCTTGTCAAACTTGTTCATTTGGAATTAGAGATTTAACATTCTGGATGGTCAATGGTTAACGTTCATTGTCCTTTTTCAGTTGGACAGTAACACATTTTGGTTTGACGAGTTGCCCTCACGTCCGTCCTCATCGGGACCAACTCTATAGAACTATAGATCCCATTTGACCTCTGTTTTGATAGGAAAAGACAATGTTTGGGATCCAAAACAGGGGTCAATCAGGTTCTAGGTATATTACTCTTGTTGTGTATTGAAATAGGTAGACTTCCCAGTTTGACTCCCTGGAAGATCTGGAAGAAGGAAATGCATCAACCCCAATTTGTATGTTTTCACACATAGATCGATATTTTTCAGGTTTGCTATCGGACGAGCCTGGCGATGCTTACTTACAGTTTCTGCGGGGGGTTGTCCATCGCAGGTCACCCCCAATGATCCAAAAGAACATCACAAGTAAAACAACGGATTTACTATTTGGTGCTGGAAAAGTATCTCGAATCACCCAGAGCTTGGGAAGTGTCATCCATCCGGAAGACGATCATCCTAGTATCCTCGGCCTTAGCCGTTTTTGAAGATTGATCCTTCAAGTCATCAATTTTTGCCTCTTTCGAATGCACTCCAGAGCAACAGATCCTGCGGATGAACACGCCCCAAACACCGTTGAACAAAGTTGGGCGCGTCCCAGTAAACCACAAAGAGTCGGTAGAAGTAGAAGATGATCGCTACTGTAGGGGCTCCTGAGCTTGTGGAATTTTTCAAAAGGGGCACTCCAAGAAACCCTACAAGTCAAAGACCTCATTTCACTTGAGTTAGTCATACAAAAACAATATTGGATGCTAAAGACCAGGTTTTGCTGGGTCAGACTGGACTTGCAGGGAAAGGTCTCATTTCTTTGATCAGACTGCTGGGTCGGCTCTGTGAGAATTCGTTGGGAGCCGGTTTGTAGCCGGCATCGAGGGAAGCAGAACACCGCTTACTCGCGCCCAAGGCGCGCGTCGGCGACGACTTTTTTTGGGCTTCCGGTGCGATCCCTATCGAGGGGCGGAGCGGGGGACATTTCCTAGTCGTTTGAACTGGAACCACTAGTAGAACTCCCAGTTAGATCCGATCGGAGTTGTGGATTCCCCGCATGAAAAAATCAGAACGGGTGCGAAAACGACCATTTCCATCCACTTCCAATCATGAGCACGAGGGGAAAGAGATCGATAGAATGCTTCGCGAATTTGAATCGAGCTGAGCTGTCAAGCCTACAAGAAATCGACCGGCTTGAGGGTGATTGATTCAATAATAATGATTCAATAATAGTAAATTAGTTTATGACGAGAAAATGATCCACCATGATCCACCACAAGCTTTCTTGTTTTTTTCGTCCTAACCAGATTTTGCCTGCACCGGAACCTATTGCTGTCGCGACCAGCGATGAACACGCCCAGCGCGGGCCATGTACAGGATGATTTGTGGCCCCTAGAACTCTCAAGAACCAAGACTGTCTGTTCAATGGTTTGTTTGATGAAGTCGTAGTCAGGTTCAGCACAAAAAAACGGTTGGTGTGTATTTGCAGGAGTAACATGGAAGAACTACTTCACATGGGTTCTTAAGGGTTCTAGGTTGTCCTTCATATTTTTGCTCACTAGCCAATGAGGGTGGACTTTCCACAGCCCGCAACATCGGGCCAGCCGTGAGAATGCCCACAACTGGCATGATGAGCGAAAGGACATGCTGCGAAAGGAATTCCTCAGAGAGAGGACTGGCTTACCTGGAATTGCTGAAGTTGCCAAGTTCTTCGTGCGATAGTCCACCTCCACCTGGAAGAGGAAGAAGTCACAGAAGTCGTCTTGACTCGAAAAGCCTTTTGGGATGGGGGGTCCTCTACATATTTAGAATCAACATTCGCAGCTCTTGAAGGCATTCGCAGCTCTTGAAGGCATTTGGCATGCCAGGTGATGACTCATCCAATCCTTCTCACCGGCAATCGTTGCTATGTTAGTAGTTAGACGTTGCTATGTTAGTAGTTAGAAGAGGTATCTCATCATCATCCAGGACCATCAAGGACTGCTCCTCACCCTCGGGCACATGGTTCGAAACAAAAGAAAAGAAACATGGTCGAACTTGTGAATTGGAACTTGCATGAACTAGCAATTCCAAGCGCTTAGACTCGGGCGCGGTGAGTCTTATGAGGGAGAAAAGTCCGACCGCCTTCTTCTCGTCGGGTCGGGTTTGGGGTCCCTTGGAACATGCCACTGGAAAGTCAGAAGAAGAGCGATCGAAATCTGAGTGGCCGAGGTGTTGCTGGGATTTTCTTGCAAGGTTTATTTTCAGTCGAAATCTGTCAATCCGAGTCACGATCTGACCTAAGAATCTGGAGAGCCGAGGCACAGACCTAAAAAGATGAGGGTCCGGGAATGAGACTCTGAGTGGTTCGTACAATGACAATCCCTAAGAATCCGGCCTCGTGGAAAGGCCTTGGGTTCGGTTTCTGCGCCGTCCTCTTCCTTCAGGTGACGGATCCAAGGATGCTTGGGGTGGGTAAGTTCTTCAAAGGCTCCTGATTAGGTCACTCACCCTCCAGCTGCTTCGTTTACCCAGCTGGGCTGGGAAAGATCACAAGTCTCATGAGTGAAGCGCATAGAGACCCCGAGCTCGTGCCGACGGATGAATATCATGAATCTTCCTTCCACTCTGGGTGAAGACGAACTCGTTTTAAAAGGCACACGTTTGAGATTTATGGAAGTCCAAATGACTCACCCTAGAAGTGGTGGGGTATGACTTGGTATGACTCTCATGAAAGGGATTTTGGATATACATGGTCTGGGGTGGATCTTAAGTTCAATCAAAATCCATTTTCCATTGCTTGTTCCGGCCATCCGAGGACAACGCGACGCTGGCCTTGTGAATTCACCTGGGCGTTAACCACCAAATCCACAAAGGGCCCTCATGGGGTCTCATGGCGCTTCAGGACCTGGGGCCTACCACAGCCCCTGTCTTGAGATTTGTTTCTTGGGTGGTGGGGAGGGGGGGTGAGAAACATCAACACGAAAACAAAACAAAGAAGTCTACAGGCCAGGGGCAAAGCGCCCACTGCGGGCAAAGACACATCTCCATCATTGGACAACGCTTGAAGAGTGTGTATTGAACCCCGAGTGGAATTGTGAACCCAACGGCAACTATGTTACCACCAAGAAGGCAGTCATCTTGTGATGTCTTTCAAACAATTCGGTCTCATGTCAGGAACCAACACAGCGAGTTGCACTACGCATCTCTGAACAGAAACACTTCTGCACTCTGAATGATGCATTCGGCCCTGGCCCGGCCCACAGGAAAAGGATACATCGAAACGGCCGGGGATCGTCTGCAACCTCTCCAGAACTTCCAATGACTCATTTTACCCCAACCTGGCGATACATGTTGCAACTTACTTGATCCGAACCTGGCGACCATGTATGGAATAGTCACCAGACCATGTGGGATACATGTTGCAGGGTCATGTTCATGGGAGTAAAATGATCTGTAACCTCTGTAACTCTTCGACCGCACCGAAGTCTGGCTGGCTATGCTCCTCACCGCTCCACCGCTCTACCGCTCAACCCGCTCCGACCACGCCGGGCTGCGGCTCGAAACAGCTCCGTGGACGAGGAAGGCCCTGCGGAGTGGACGGAGATCAATGCCGGAAGTGCGGCTCGGAATGCACTCCAGCGCCGGGTCATCGACTCGGACGATCGGAGAGGAGTCGTGTTCTTGCTGGGTGAGGGGTGCTGCCGGGGGTCGAGGGGATCAGAAGGGATTGACATGGTGATGTGGTATTGTGGTGAAACGGAAGATTTCCTGAAGTCCCAGTGTTCTTGTGAGCGATTTCTTCAACAAACGTTGGCACGGATGAGCTCGAGGGAGCTGTGTAGCTCAGCCCTCAATCTGGCATATCTAGCTCTATAGGCCCATTTGGGTGTATTGCACTTAGTAACTTAGTAGGGAGACCCCGGGGCAGACTCGTCGATGTTGCGAACCGTCCAGAGGGTCGTCGTTTGGGGGGTCGGTTTCCCTCTGTTAAGACCAGACACTCCATGTTTGTCATATACCACCCCAATGTAGGTAGATACATGGAGTGTTTGGGCAAGACACAACCATGTTGGAATCTGGAATGGTCTTTCACCGAGTCTCAGCGCCTTCTGCCTGAAACCATTTGCAACATATTGCAACTCTTCCAGTTCCGGTCGTGTCGATCGAATCGCCTTCCGGTCTTCGAGGTCCGCTGATGTGGCTGCGGCCCGTGCCAAGCTGGCCGAGTGCGGGGCTGAGGGGGTTGGACATGAGACGAAGGGAAAGGAATATGGAAGGGAAACCAAGAGATGGAGACTTCAGCGGGGTGGAAAGTTCATGATGGGATGGTACTGCTATCAGGTGTCCAAAGACAATGCTTGGATTTCTCGTCTTGAAAAAAGCTCGTGCAAGACCCAGATGTAGCACTACGGCGAGAATTACAGTATGGATTTTCCAGAGGTGTTTATCAAAGATGGGGTCAGAGAAAATTTTTGGATTGTGCCGGATTGTTTTCTGTCACCTGCGCTCAAAGATGGGTGGGAAGCGATGATGAAGCTTGGATCCTTGACTTCTTCCGTTTGCTTGGCTCACCGATTGGCAGATCTCAGTCAGAGGCATTCAGAAAAGTCAAATTCAGAAATGCAAAGACTGCTGACTCCCAAGAATCTAAGAAACAGAGTTAGAGTTAGTTGTATAATGTTTCAAGAGCAGATTCTGTCAACACGTTTCGACACGCGTTCCTGCGTCAAGGCAACCGGGAACACATCGCAAGAGTCATGTCCCATCTTTCGACCAATCTACGACCTTCACAGCGGGTTTTGCGGAAACAACACGTGCGATCTTTCTTTTTCCAAGGTTCCTGGGTGAATCCCTTGGGCCTTTTGGGGTCAAAAAAGATGGACGTGTTTTTTTCTTACAAAATTCTACGAAAATCGGCTTTCCGAAGTCCAACCTCGATCCGCAGATCAGCCAATCACCCGTTTCTTGGGAACAGGACACCCCCGAGGTCCGAGGACCGCATCCGAGCCATGGAAGAGGGTGCTGAGACGCCTCCACCGCCGCCACCGGAGAGCAAAGAGATGCGAGAGACCAAGGGGAATGGGCTCGTCCTTGGAAGACGTGGAACCCTTTTTTTTCTGCAACAAAAACAACACACTCCCTGCTACATGGTAGAGTGATTAAGGAATTCGCCAGAGATGTAAAACCATTCTGGTGGGGTTCATTCATTTATGTAGAAGCAGAGGAATAATATGGGCTGGACCCATCAAAGATGGTTCTATAAAGATGGCCGACGGCTGTTAGCGGAGTCCATTGCCTGTGGTTGAGGGTAAACGAGCAGTTTTTCTACAGACAACTCAAAATCCAAAAGACGGTCCTTCAATATGTGCGGCACAGTATTCGACACATCCAAGTGGAGTAAACATGTTTTTTCACATCAAACTCTTCCAACATCATCCAAAAAAGGTGGCGTTCGCTGCTCCAAGAATTTTTGCATTCTTCTTCCGAGAAGATCTTCTAGGGGGTTCTTGATTGCTGATAGAAGATATCCATTTCCCATCCCATTTCAATCGGCGGCTTTGTACCATCTCAGTATATTGGGGTGTGTCCCACTGTCAAAAACAGCCGGCAAAGGCTATTTTTCAGAAAGGATGAGAAAAGGCCTTTACTATCGTCATCCATTTTCCAAAGCGCTAGCGCGACGTCTATACCCCCAAGGTAGCTCAATGCCTGTCGAAGCAACCCGCTCGGGTTCTTCTCCATCGCGCTCAGCGCTGCATCGCGGCGCCTTGGCTCAGGATCCAAGAGGAGAAGTACTGGCGAGACCGGCCGATGGAGGTCGCGTTGGGTTGGAGACCGAGACGCACCGAGAAACGCCCGGGGGTTCGGGGAGCTGGAGCCGGAGAAGCTCCATGGGTTGACCAGTCCGGATTCAGGGGTGGTGAAGCTTCCAGAATCAGATGAATCAGCTGGGTCATGGGGCCATTTCTTGGGCAAATGCGTGGTGGTCGAGTTCCCCCCAAAATTAGAGAACACGCACGCACCTATGTGTCTGGATTTGGTAACCCATGTCGATGGAAGGGAAAGAAGTGGCTGTGTCTCAGAAGACTGGCTCGTGTACACCCCATTTCCACTGGTGAAACGAACACCGGTTGTCACCCCTGCAGGCTAGTTTGCAGGAAAAAAGGACATATTGTTGAGGCCACAGCCAAGGCAATCCCAGACATTCCATGGACCCATTTCACCTACATTCCATGGACCCCTGACACCACCTTAACTGATCTTGGTCCATCCACGCATGGATGCTTAAGCGAATGGATCCACTCTTGAAACATCAGCGACCGGTCTGAAGGCCCCACTTCGACAGCCAGGCCTCCAAGCGAGCAGCGCCGGGAGACACCTTAAAGGAGCTGAGCGTGCCGCGGCGAGGATGAGACAATGGATGGGAGGATGGAAGACGGTTTCAGCGGGGAGGGATGGTTTGAGACCCGTCTTTCCGGGCCGGTCGGCAGTTGGGACCGAACCGCCGAACACTCGGACGCCGTGGGTCGGCTGCACCACACCGACGAACGCTGTCAGACAACACATTCTCCAAGTGCGGCCGTCGCCCTGCTGAACCCCCCGTGTTGGATCTCAAGCACGAGTGCTCACCGGAAGTGTCTCTCCAAGCTGGACAGTGACCTTGTAAATCGGGAAAACAGAAACACGGAATCGGATTGAAAATGACACCTCAAGAGCTCAAGCGGGCTTCGGAGGGTAACCCCCCCCGACGGTGTGTGGGACCCAATCATATTGTTCTCCATGCAAGTGCGGCCAGGACGGAGGTTTGTAGGGTCAGTAAGAACAGATATCAAGTTGGAGATGCATGTGCCCAACGGTGCTACAATGAGATAGTCATTCTAAAAAGAAGCAACAACTCACTCTTTTGCAATGTAGAAGGTTGATGAATGAATAACACCTCCCCAGACTTGGGTTGTAAGCCTTTTCAGGCTTTGGGAGGGCTTTGAAAAAGAACAAGAGAGTAGTTCACTGCATCGGACCCTTTTCAGATGTGCTCAGGCCATCTTGCAAGCGCTCGGAGATGAGGCATGGCAAGCTCATGCGTGGAATACACAACACAAGACTTAAATGGAGGGTCCCAAGTTTAGGACTGATTGGTGATTGGTGGATGAAGGATGCGGAGTTTGAAACATGTTGAAACTACCATGAGCATCCATGAGCCAAGACACAGCTGCTTGGTGAGAAAGGGTGTTTTTGCTGGCACTTGATGCATGCGATGCATTTCCACGTTGCAGAATGAGTACCATGGGTACTCTTCTAGGAAGGTTGATGGCTTTAGCATGCCACACCAAGCCCAGTGTCCGGACCCCATCGTGAGGGCCTTTTCAGGAGGCCGTGGACTGCGATTGTGGCTGTGGAATCCACCAATTTGAGATGTTGCATTCCTCAGAAGGGAAAAAACACGAAGACCCTCAACCACTTGGCAAACGATTTCAGCCACTATGACCTATAAAGTTAGGGGGCCTCCCAGAGAATTGAACGAACTTCCTCTTCCGCGTGATCCACTTCATTCTATAACTTCTATACTCCCAGACCATCCGGACTGGAATCGTTGACGATTTTCGCATCTGGATTGATAGTCTGTGTAACATCCTGTAACTCTTGCAGTTCCCATGGATGGCTTGTGATTCTTTATGCTTCTTCTGAACAGTCGTCAGCAGAAGATCATTCATCATAGGCCTGGCATAAACCGTTTTCGTGCTTCCATGTCCAGCCAGCTTTTGCCGCGTTCCTTTTTTTCCGCTGCGCCGCAGTCTCCCCGCGGCGCGGCATCCGTCGGCGCGGCCCAGGCCGGGGATGGTGGGAAGGTGGGTGACCTGGAGTCGACCGGTTGGAAACCTTGAGTCGACCTGGTATGAGGGCGGTCGGATTGTGTCACTGAGCTGCACTTGTTTTGGCAAACTGTGATGTAGCTTCGTTGAGCTCAGGCTGCGTCCGTCACATATCCAAGATCCGGAATAAGGTGCAGCCACTGTGGCTTACGCCATCTAGGACAAATTGCGAAGGCAGTCTCTTCAGCATAGGTCCCTCTCCATGTGGTACGTTGGCCTGGCATTCGCGTAAGCCTTCTCAAAACTGTACAATCAAGAAAGGCCTTACAGGCAATCTAATGAAGCGATGGCGGGATGGCTAGCTCTTGCAAAGCAGCACAGTTCATAAACGCTTTCGGGTGTATAGTGTGAATTGTATATGGAAGCAAGACACTCTGGAGCAACACGCAATGTGCAAATGTAAACTCTCGGATCTCTGTTATGATACATAACCCCCTCGCAGACGAACTTGGACCCTGAAAATGCATCCGTTGAAGACGAGCATGTTTCCTTAAAAAGAGAAACAAACAGTGGTTTGGGGCCTCCATGTGGTCCTCTGCAGGAGGGTACCTGTTTTCGGCTGCTTTTTTGGTTCGGGTCATGAAAACCCTTGAAACACATGTTCTATAGACTCTGTACGACAAAAAGAAGGGTACTAGGACATTCCAGCACCATGGAGTTTGGGTCGTTTGCATATATAGACGATGCCTGACGATGTGGAACCCCCAATAGCCACCCGAGTTCCGTGGTGCTGGTGGTGGATCTTGGTGAATTGGACTTTGCAGGTCTTTCAAACGTCCCAAAGATGCCAGTTTGAAACTGATCAGACATCATTCTGGATCCTAAAGTAGGATCCAAGGGTGTCAGTGCTTTTTGCCCCCCCCTTCGTGCCGGCCCCTCCCCTTCGTTCCTTCGTACTGGCAATGATAAAACACAGTCCGGATGTCACTTCACTTTGTTTTGTTGCAAGTCACTTAGTCCCTTTGGGGGGTGCAAGACATGATGCAAGCGCTGGTTTCGGGAAAGATCTGAAGAACTTCTCGTGACGTTCGTCGTTCCAATGAGAGCGTCAAATCAATACATGCAAAGCATCAACGCTGCAGATCATCCCCAGATGCCTGGGCCTCTTGCGTCAAATCTACCTAAGAATATCATATTACCGTGTAGAATCATGTAACAATCCGACATCATGATCTAAAAAGACCTCGCTTTTCGGCTGGTCCATGAAGCGAAGGAATTGGTGTTGCCCGGTTCCTTTTTCCGCTCGATCTTCCGCTCTTCCTGTATTTTCCTATTTCACCGGAGCCTCGCGTCCGCGCGAACACGCAAACGCGTCCGCGTCCTCGGCGCCAGGAGGAGGTCGAGCCTCCCCCACCGCCTCCT